GGAGCTGTTTGGTATATATGTAAATGCCCCCTTATAAAAAATATGTATCGCAAGCTGACGGTCTTGCACCACACTTTTATTGTTTGAAAAAAAAAAATGGGTAAAATTAATCTGAAAAGAAAGAAATTTAAAATTATTTGAGATGAATGTAATATAAATTTTTTTTTTATTATGTATTAAATTTATCCTAAAATAATTGTAATAATTTGAATAATTTATTGTTGAATCCGATCTTTTGAGACGTAGGATCTCATATTATTATTGAGTACATATAACTCGATAGAGACCATATATTGTATATAAAGAATGTGTGTGTGTGTGTGTGTGTGTGTGTGTGTGAGAGGAGAAATTATTGCATACGGTCTCTGCATGCGGTGTCCGATCTTAACCGATTTACGGTCAGAATTATTTCAGTTTTTTTTTTTTTTTTTAAATTTAGGTGGGGCCTGCCGAAATACACCATGACCGTAAATCACCTCAAGATCGGACACCGCACCGTATGAAATAATTTTTCGTGAGAGAGAGAGAGAGAGAGAGAGAGATGGAAGAGAGTCTTAAGACTCTTACGAGGGATTCTTAGAAAATGTAGAGGAGGGCAGCTCCTTGGAGATTCCACGAGTTACAAGATTTCGGAGGAAAAGAGAGAGCGAGATGCCTCCCTCTCTTTTTTGCACAAGGGAGAAAGCAATAAAGTAATTGACGTGGTGCTTCTTGTACTATACTACTTCCAATTCTTCTCCGATGTCTTGATGAAAAAATTATGATGTGGGTATCAAGTCTTGCAGGTATGACGGCTATCCTTGGTGTTTGAATAAGAAGACCGAGTCTCAAGTGTCGGGCGATGTCTTTAATAATGGATTGACATATGTCCTCATTAGTCATGATGGTTTCCTCCGATATGCGCCTCCGCCTAGGTGTGCTAGCTAGATTGCCCTTTAATTTGAGGAGGATAAATACAATTGAATTGACAAGTGGGTTCGATTCAATCACTTCGGCACGTGAATATAAATAAGCGAAAAGTTTTGTATATATACTCGTATTTGTGTATTATACATTTATCATTATTAAATTTTAATCAATCATTTTTATCTTCACGTTAGAACTTTCTTTCATATCAACTCCATATTTGTATCCCAACATTTTAAGGTGAATTGAGCACATATGTATTTACACTTCTAATACCTGAAGTTTAATTTTTACATTTATACCGTCCAAAAATTTTATATTACATAAAATATATCACTTATTAAATATTGAAGGTGACATGGATGAAACAATTGACTTTCAGGTGTTGGATGTAAATACTAAATGTAAATACACAATATTTTAGTGGTTTCTATGCAAATCTTCCATAATGATAATAGTAATAATAGCTGTAGCACAGGTAAAGATGAGTGATATATTTTGTTCCACAGAACAATGCATCATTTGGCCTGATGTGGTAGATATATCTCTAATCATCATTCTTCTATCAATTTGAAAAAGTTTTCTGCTCCATGCATGCTTTATGAGCCCACCTCACATGCTTCTGTTCTTTATTTACTTTTCAAGCCAAACTAGATGAATGCAAGAACAGCTCATTTATGGTATGCCCCACTCCTTTTTTAATCTTTCATCATGTGTTCAAAGGGATGGCCCACTTTCTTTCTCTCTCCCTCTGTCTCTATATATATATACACACACAAAGAGATGAGAAAAATTTGTGTACTCTAGACGTACGCAGCGTTGCATACTTCAGGGAGATAATTCAGAGGGTATTGAGGGGTTATATCCGTTTTATATCCCATGTAACATCACTGTAACCTACAAATATATAAAAACAAAAGCGTTTCTATTTTCATATATTTGTAGGTTATAGGTAGGTTACATGGAGGTTACATGGGGTATAACGCGGATATAACCCCCCAACGCCCTCTGAATAACCTCAACGTACGTAGCATTGTGTATGTCTTACGTACGCAAATTTTCTCCAGAGAGAGAAAGAGAGAGAGAGAGAGAAATGCCAAAATGGTCCCTCAACTATTTCAACTATTTGAAGGCGACCATTTTAGTGCTCGACTTTTAAAAATGGTCAAAGTAGTCCCCAACTATAAACATTAAGTGTGTTTTCTTGAATGGTAAAGAAGTTGTGTTCTCTTGAATTTTGAGTCGTCTTCTTTATCATTCTCCCTATAATGAGATTTAGTTTTGTGAAAAATTGATTTTGTCAATAAATTATGATGATTCGAACTCTGATCTTCATTTACTTTTCAATTTGGCCAATCAAAAAGCTAAAACTTGTTGAGGAACATAAGATCCGAAATGGCTATGATTTCTACAACATGGTGAGAGTCACATTCATTTACATGGGTGATGATGTTATCTATGAGGTTGAATGCAAATAAATAGAGAAATATACTTTTTTGGGCATATAATTGAAGATTTTAAGATGACAAATTAAAATCCCCAATTTGGTCAAGTTGATTGAAAATTAATGCGAGATTGTTAGCCCTCAGGTGAGGGAGTAGTGATAGCTCTGGAGTGACAGCCGATATCCTCTCTGCCTAACCACAGAATTAGGGACCAAACTCTGAATTAGTCAATGTTCTTTATGCACTTGAAAAATGGTAAAGAATAAGATTGCTTCTATTTGAGACAAAACAATTTTAATATATTTTCAAATGATTTTAATTTCTTCACAATTCATATACTCATTGTAAAGGGGAATGATGTTTTTCTAAATTTTGAACCCTTCATCACAAAAACTTTATTTAGTCTTAGTAAATTGAACTTTGAAGTTTAGAAATTAGTTTAGTAAACTTAGTTCTTTTAGCTACCTTTCTGTTAACATTCATTAAACTCATTTATTCATTAAACTTTACATTTCTATTGGAATTCATTAAACCCATTTTAACTTGTCTTTCTTACTTTAATTTTTATAGTTTGAATATTGGGATTTAAGAATTTTTAATAAGAATTTTTATCTTCCAAATTAAGACTTGATAGTAGTAGACTAGAATTAGCCTAAGAAATTTCTTACCGCGCTTCTTTGTGAGATTGATGCTGGGGTTTTTATATAAATCTCTATATTACTTGAAGGGGATACGTGCACTTGCGTAGAACCACTAGTGTGTGAACTATTTTATATATTTTATAACATTTTGATTTTGCAATTTAACTACTTAATATAAATTAGGTACTTAATATAAATTAGGTTTTAATATAAATTAGGTTAAGTTTTTTGCCATATTTTTTAAAGCTAAATTACTGCGTAATTTTGGGATGGGTCAAGTTTTTGACACTGTTTTCAGAGATTTAAATTGACATTAAACGTGCAGAAAAATAGCACACACCAAAGACGCATCACAATACCTAAGGGATTATAACTATATCATTGTTGTCTTTAACCAAAAAATCATGTCGATTTGGAAGGGACATACATGGGTTGAAATATTTGAATACGAGACTTGAACAAGTGCCTCACACATAATGTTGATCAATTAGAGCTTGTTTGAGTAATTATAACTTCTTTATGATATACTTAAGTGGATAACAAAGCTTGTTGGTTTTGTTCGTTGTATTACGTTTCTATTGTTGGCTACCTTTTTGGTTTTGATATTGCTGCATTTTTTTTATTCTTTATTTTTGTGACTCTCTCTTGGTACATTCATTTTATATAAATCTAGATGAAAATTTTGTTTTCAACAATTTTTTTATGATTTTATACTGAGATGTTGTCTTTTACTCTATTTGGAATTTCTCTGTTTTCTCTTTTTTTTGGCTGTATTTAATCTTCCAAACTCTTTTATTTTGTTAGTTGTTCTCTTAAGAATTTAGTTGTTTGTTCCTTTTTTTTCTTTTTTCTATTTTCTATTGTTATTGAGGCCAGTTTAGGCTGTTTTAAAATAACTTTTGTTTCGTATTTTTCTGATAATTTCAAATACACTTTTTTATCTTTACTTTTAATGGCCTTATCTTTAGGTTTAAACTATGATGTGCTCATTCATATTACATTACTTTGTCATTCTTTAGAGACCATATTTTAGTATACTCATTTCATATGAATCTGGATAAAAAGTATGTTTTTCAACCATTTATTTTCTAGGGTTTTATGCTAAGATTTTGTCTTTTTAGCATCTGGTTGGAGTTCTGTTGTCTTGTTTTGGGTTTGGAGGAGCTTGATTTTTTTCTTTTCTATAAATTTGTATTTTTTTCATATATGTTTGCACAACTATTCCGGTTTCATTACAACATTCAATGCCTCAGGTTACTATTTGGTTAAAGAGCTATTCATTTGCTCTGAGACTCTATGAAGACTTTTCTACTGTTATGAAGATTGGTGACATTCAGTTCTTTTTAATTTCTTATTCTGATTTGGTTGATGTCCAACCAAAGATGTTTGGATTAGTGATGCTACTGGATCCATAGATGACTATTGGAATGCTTTTGCTGTTTTTCGGTCTTTTGTCTCTGTTTGTTTTGTTTTTGTTTTATTTTGATGTAATTTTGTTATTTTGTACCATTTTACTCTTAATAAATCTAGGATAGGCCCTCACCTTTCACCCAAAAAAGAGATAATTACATACATACCGCTTGAAATTTTGATATTTATAAATTAATCATCCAAGTGATTTTCTTAAACTATCAATATATTTAAGCGTTCCATGAAAAAATTATTTAGAATTTGATAAAAATAAAAACTATGAGTTAACAAATTGGTCAATAAAATATAATAAAAGGCCGCCCATGGACACCGTTGCTACAATTTGTCCCACTCTCTGAGGGCGAGGAGGGCTATTTACATATGTTAACCTTTCCATAATCAATTATTGGGGGTTATTAAGAGCTTATTAGTGATATTAACTCCAATAATATTTTCATAATCTCACAATAACCTAACAAAATATTTCGCGGTTATAAGGGATTTGTGGGTTAATTGAGATATTAATATGAGCGACATAATCAGCCCTCAAATAAAGTTAAAACGCACGACTTACCGAAGGCGAGGGACTGGATCTTTCATGTACCGCTGCTCAGTTCAACTTCTTCTTTCTTCTCTTTCCCGCCTCCTCGGCCGATCTTCTCGCTCCGAAATCCTACACGTCTGCTCAGCTCTCCTCGCCCAGCTAACAAGAATCGGTCTACTTCACATGAATCTGCCCTCTACGGCCGCCGCGATCGTCAACCACAGCTCCTCCGTTTTCCCCGCTGCCGGAGATATAACCCCATGGAATGCCCTCATCGCTGAGCTCTCAAGCCATGGTTTCCCCCTTCTCGCCATCCAGGCCTTCTCACTCATGCACCGCATTGCTCTGCCCCTCGACTCCTACTCTCTCTGTAGCGCGCTTTCTGCTGCTTCCTCTCCTCAGTCCAAAGCCGTCAAGCTTGGCAATCAGATTCACGCTTATTTCTCCAAGTCTGGAGTGATGTCCAACATTTTCGTGGGAGGCGCTCTCATCGATTTCTATGCCAGAACAGGTGCTATTCCGGATGCTCACCAGGTGTTTGTTCAAATTCCTGTTAGGAATGCTGTTTGTTTGAATGCGCTTTTAAATGGCTATGTTGAGGAAAAACTCTGGATGGAAGGTCTGTCCTTGTTCCGGAGTTCTTATAGGCTCAATCCGGATGGTTATACGATTTCTGCCGTGCTTAAAATTTGTGCTGAAATGTCTTTTATTTTACTAGGAATGCAGTGCCATGCCTATTTGATTCGTAGGATTATGGAGAAAGATGTATTTTTGTTGAGTTCCTTAGTTGAGATGTATGGGAAGTGTGGCCTTGTAGACAAGGTTCACTCTGTGTTTAAGATGTTTGACAAAGGGATAGCAGAAGGAAGAAGAGATGTTGTGCTTTGGACGTCCTTGTTGAATGCCTATGGGCGGAATGGGCTGTTTGATGATGTAATATCAACATTTGAGGAGATGTTGGTTGAAGGGACAGAGCCTGATGAGATTGTGATGTTAGTTATCCTTTCTGCTTGCGCTCGCTCTGGCAATGTAATGAAAGGTATTCACTACCTTGAATCAATGACGAAAGAATACAAAATGGTACCAAGGCACGAGCATTATAGTTGTGTGGTTGATTTGCTTTGTCGGGCTGGTGAAGTCGAGAAAGCTTTAAATTTTGTTACTGAAATTGCAGCAGAGGATAATGGTGATGGAGGAACAATGTTTGCTGTTAGTGCTTGGGGCGTCATACTCAGTGCTTGCAGTGATTATGGAAATGTTAAGATTGCTAAGCTTGCTTTTCACAGGGCGATTCAGTTGGATCAGGATAATGTTGGTGTCCACGTAGAACTCTCAAATTTGTATGCCAGAGTTGGAATGTGGGATGAGCTCGCAAAACTAAGAAAGTTGATGTTGGACAAGGGAATGAAGAAAGATATGGGCCATAGCCGATTGGAGATCATGAACTAGGTAGCGGTAATGATGAAGAGGGATTCTCTTTAAGAGTCTTGCCCTAAAAGAATATTCATCCGTCTTTGGGAAGTGTTGGCTAGTTTATGTTGAGAGATATAACTTTGGTTTCAGTTGGTGCAGTATGAAGTTGAGTTGGAAGGAAATTAGTTAGCAATCCTTGAAATTTTTCAGTAAAACACCTATGATGTTGTTGAATCCACGTTGTTTGTGGAAGACACAAAGGCTCTATTGCAAATATGGATCTGACCCAAAGAATAGAGATGGAAGAGAGAGACAAAGGTTTAGAGAATCTCTTCAATTGGATCGGCTCACAAGGAGTCTGGCTGAATCTTTAGATAGAGAAGGATGAGTCAAATCAATCAAATAGAAAATTTTATAATAGGAAATCTGATTGGGGATCTCAAAGAGATTTCAACTGGACTAAATTTTGGTCAGAAGTACAAGATTGGGTCATAGATCTTGTATGATATCACTTGAATTTTGATGCTGTGCATGACTTGTGACCTTCTATTTATATTTTAGAGCCAAGTTTTGTTGTACATAGGCGACATTATGAAATTATAAGAAAATAAAACAGACTCGATGTAATTAGTCATATAGCATGCAAGCCTTACTAAAAATTACCTTCAAGTTAGAAACATCAGGCAAGGTGCATATTAAAGTTGTGTAAACTTGTGAGTTCTCTTGGCGATAACTACTACTTGGAAAGTGAGTTATTTGGACGAGTAGCCTTGACAATTGCGCGACTTTATGGATCACTTAAGCAAGCTTGGTAGCTTAGTAGGAGTCGGTGTATGATCACGAATTGCTGAACCCAGTTTAGGCTTTCATGATGACTTGATCAATATGATGTAGATAAATATCAATATAAAATGATAGTTGGCATAAGTTTAAAGCAGAATAAGAATACAATGGAATGCTTCATATTTGGTTTCTCATTTCTAAGTCGGTTCTTGAAGTTTTATAAATGGTGAAAAGTTGAGTTGTGTCATGATGATATTCATCATTCTTAAGAGGGAGTTGAAAGAAGATGTTACAAATCTTGAAAGAATAAGATAACCTCTTTATCTTTGTCTTTTGAGACATTCTTGTACTTTAAATCATTCTAGCTATACTCCTTTTCATTCTGCTTGATCTTGGGTGTATGTTACTGTTCTTATACTACTATTAATGTTAATTTAATTGATGTTTTTTCCAGAAACTAATAATTGTCCTTTTTTTTTAATCTCAAGCTATTAAATTACCACAACCAAAATATTTTAATCTTTGTTGTGCTTCATGCTTACAAATCCAATGTTTGTGCAGGATCTCGGCCAAATTTTCTTGGACGCATGAGTGTTTGGTTTTGACTATTCATATAGAACTCAAGATTTATCCATATTTGATTTTCAACTATGGTAGCAAACCTAACTCGAGATAAATTCATTTTACTCTTAATTTTTAAAGATGGTGGCTATTAAACTTAAGTTTCATTTAATTAAAGCTTGCTACATGCCATGTTTGAGCGTTAGATGTATCCTATAAAAGGCAACATCAAGAAGAAGAGAGGAAGTGAAAGAGAGAGGAAAGGGGAGTCATCCAAGAAAAATTGAAGTAGTTTTTTTTTTCTTGGTGTTTATGAGGGGACTTTTTCAGCTTCATTTTGAAGAAAAGTGTTGCTATTTTTTAATTCTTGTAAGATAAAAAGTTACCCGTTATTACAAAAAAATAATTCTTATTTAAACATTTATTTTGTAGAGTTACTAGAATAGTTGAAGTTACAAAAATATCTTCTTATCCTCATTTTGCTCTTGGTTTTACAACAAGTGATCACGTTCTTTCTCAATTAAGAAAAATGGCATCTTTGTTTATATTTCTAATTTTATTTGAAATATATGATTCATCTACCATTTTTAAAATTTAGTAGATTATTTGATTTCTATGTGGTTGTTAATGTTGGTTTACAAAGCTAAACGGTTTGTCAAACTTAATGGAACCTACCTAACCTTGATCATCCCATAATATAGACAAATTTATTATCAAATTCCTTGATATTATCACCATTCATAATAATAATAATAATAATAATGATAATTTTAATAACATAAAATAAGAATTAATTAAACTTAACCTTAATTTAATTTAATACAAATAATAGGCATTGAAATATAATAAATCTAAATTCGATATATGCGAGGCTAATTTCATAGTAAATAATGAGATTGCAAAATCGAGAAAAAAACAAAACGAGAGAAGAGAACTCACACGCATTGTTTGGTCAAGAAAGAATAATGCAAGGGAGAGGTATCTTTGCCTTTCTCTTTGGTTAAGGAGGAAGAATGAAGACCAATATTGTTTGATGTAATGGGGACTCGGCTACATCATGGGAAGGGGCTATGATGCCTAGCCTTGATCTCCATATATGGGGAGCAAAGTTGGGAGAAATATTCCAAGCGCAGGATGCCGCAGGCAACAAGGAAGACGCAAAGGCAATTGCAGGTTGAGAGTTGCGGCTCTCGCGATTGGCCAAGTTGCGGTCCGATCCAATTGAAACAAAGGCTTGGTTCAGCCCTTGCACTCCTTGTTTAGTGCTAGAGAATTTATAGTGCTAGAGTGATAATATAATGTCTTGACATCACACAAAGATCCAAAAATCACATGGATAAAGAAAAGTCATGGAAAAAGACATCATAATTTTTTACTTGAAAAATCCAAGAAAGAAAAAATCATGGGATTTGACCTTGTTAAAATAATCCATTATATAATTTCGGTTATAAGATAACTGTTCTGTATTAGGGGAGAATGTGGGATTACATATTAAAGGCTAGACAACAACTGCTTGAGAATAATAATTGGGCAACCAAGGCTGTTAGAGGTGATTAACATTGACCCTGGGTAGTTGGTGATGATCCCTGAGGGTTCGCGATAATTTGGTCAACGAAGACCTCTCATGGTAGGTGGCAATCTTTGGTGTCCGACAATAACCTCTCGTACCGATGGTGATTTCTAAAGGTTGATGGTGATATCTAACGGTTGACGACGATCTAGTGTGAATGTCGACAACTGTCGGGATTTCAAATGTTAAGCTTAAGTAGTCAGTTTACTCTCTTCTCCACTTCCCCTTCCTGAATGAACAAATGGTTATTTATAGTTTTTGAGAGGGACATTTTGGCCATTTTGACTTAACATCCCAAACCACTCCATCAAATGATCCGTGTTGATTCCCTTAATCATATATTATTTTTTCGGCACATAGGTGCCTTAATGATCTCATAATTGAACAATATTGGGCTCGTCAGATTCTACTTGTCGAGACGCACGATTTGACGATAAGTATGTTACACTTGTAGTTCATTTGGTCCTCTAATTAATATTCCAAAGTTTTAAATTGCATTTCAAATGCTTGTTTTGGGCTTAGATTGACTTCTTATTGAATCACTTTCAATGTCATTGGGTTCATCTTGTCAATATGCATAGTTTGACTATATATTTGTTGAAGTCAAGGCTTAGATCATCTTGAATTTGAATTTGGAACATTTGTTGCTAAAAATTCTCATGCTTGATGATAAACATTTCTGAATGACACATCACGTATAAACACAAAAATTAATCTTTGAATGATCTTTAGATTTCAAGTTCACATGGATGTGTTTTTTTTGGATTTTAAACCAGCATATAGAACCACAAATCTTCATTATGATATGATCTATACATTTTATCCCTCTTATCCTTCTTCAAACTTGCGGATGAATTGGCGCTGTTTACAAGCTTATTCACTCCAGCATCAGACAATAATCAAAATCTTTCAACTGCGCTCAGTTTGATGTCATAATTGGTGATCATTGCTCTCTCTCTCTTTAGAAGCTCACTGTCATAAACAAACTGCATTAACTATCAATAACTGAGAATCACCGCAAAAGTCAATTAATAACAAGCGATTTAACTATCCTTACTGTCTCAACAAGTTTCTGAACATTGTTAAGGGATGGATAGTTGATTCCTAACCAATATAATATACAAATTCACAATTGATTTTGCTGTCTATCTATATCTTTTCTGCTCAACCTTCTCATTTCTGATCATAAATGTCTAACCAATGCTGCAGCTCATTATCACTTTGGCCGATTACATCTTCAACTTCCTTATAAATGCTTCATCCTCCTTTCCTTTCAATCAGTTGACCTGTCTGCAGCTTCATTTCTTATCTGGTGTTTTAGTATTACAATTTCCAGCAGAATTTTTAGAGAGCTGTAGATTTCAACCGTAGGTGGTTGTCTTGTCATGTTTGCCTGAGATGACTTCTGCTAGAACTTGGCTTTCTTTTAAGTATCGTTGGTATACATCTATTCATCACAATCTTCTTTATATTAAATGATTTTTGGCTCTAGTGGAATGAAGAGATAAACTTTATGAAAATTTTATTTATAAATCATCTCACAAGTATGTATAATATATAAGCTTTGTTCCTCTCAAACCATTTTGTCTTGTTAGATCCACTCCTATCACTCTTTTTAGGGAATATCATTGTCCTTCTTTGTCATGAGACTTAAGAGGGTGTTTGGTAGCATATTTTTAATAGGATTTTATGTTAGATTTAACGAAAATCTAGCTAAACAAGAAAAGAGGTACATTAAATCACAAACACATCGAACGGATTTAAATGGATTTATGCGGTGTTTGGCTGCAACCTAGATTTATGTTAAATATGATTTATCAAATCCAGTTAATATGATAAATCCAAATTTATCAAATCCAGTGTGAGAAGGAGATGAAGCTCGCGGCGATGGTGGAATTAATTCACCTCACAATCGAATTTAGTAAATATGGATTTAAGTCTTAAAAGTGCTGGAATGTGACGGAAAAAAAGGACGGAATGCAGGAAAAATTTATTTAACAGAGCGCTAAATTTAATTTTCAATTTTTGGTGTTTAGATGGATTTAAGTTAAATCCAAAGTATGCTACTAAACACCGCCTTTACCTTAATTGAACCAAAAAATACTCTGGATTTAACAGCATT